ACCTGTAGCAAAAAGAAAAAAAAAATCTCCATCATCCAGAAACAACTATAGATAACTGTGATGAGAACCAGCAGATTACAAAAAGAGGTAATTGATTAAAAAATTGCCCCATTTGTTTATGCAACAAACTCTCCTTTCTGTATGATTGAGAACTCATTACTTCATTAACATGGTTCAGTCATTAAGACCAGGATATAGTCTACTCAACAGAGCAGATGTTGCAGGCAAATTGTTGGATAAAGTATATGAAAGAGAAATTGAGCAGTGTGCAAAAGGTCTAGCGGGTGAAATTGTTAACCTGAATCTTGATGGGTGGAGCTATGTCCACAATGATCCTGTTGTACGTGCTTGTGTGACAACAGAAGAAGGGAATGTCTTCCTTACGGAAACAATTGATACAACAGGAAATGCACACACAGCAGAATACTTACAAGCAGCAGCAAAAGCTATAACAAACTGTGGGGAAAAAAATAAAATGTCTAGTATGCAGCTTGGTCACAGACAATGCTGCAAATGTATCCAAGATGAGAAGAAATTATTTAGAAGAGAGTCCCAAGCTAATAACATACGGTTGCAGTGCTCATTTGATGCACCTCCTAGCTCAAGACTTCAGTGTTCCAGAAATAAAGGCTAATGTTGTTGAAATTGCAAATACTTCTGTAACAACCACTTTGCAGCAGCTGCTCTGAAAAAAGTGGGAGGAACCAAGCTAGCTCACTCACAAGACATGCGATGGAACTCAGTAGTGGACTGTTTTGAGTACTGTATCAAGAACTGGCCTAATCTGATGACAGTTTGTGAACAAAATTGTGAAAAAAAAACAGATGGCACTGTCACAGCCAAAGTTTTCAACATTGGTCTTAAGAGAAATGTTGAACACATGCTGAGTACCCTGAAGCCTATTTCTGTAGTCTTGAAAGGAAATACCTGTTTTATTGCTGACGCTGTTGAAATTTGGAAGGAACTGAGTGAAAAGAGAAATATGCAATGACAGTGAATGGGACAAGCACTATATTCTCAATACGCAGTACCAGGTAACTGCTGAAAAAGAGGAGTTGGCTATGATATGGACATCCAGCAATCATCCCTCCATAATGCCAACTATAATAAACTTCAGAGCTAAGGGTGAACCAGTCAAGAAATATATGTTTGCTGATGATATTTTAAACAAAGTCACACCAGTGAAGCGGTGGAAGTCACTTAAGCACTTGGATTCAGAGACAGTTGAAGTGATAATCTCACTTTTAACAGCAATAGCTTCTTCTGCCCGTGTAGAAAGAATATTTTCTTCCTTTGGACTAATTCATTCCAAATTGAGAAATCGTTTGGGACCTGAAAAAGCAGGAAAGCTTGTTTTTCTTTTCTAGATTATGAACAGGAAAATGAATTTATAGAATAGGGCTGGAAGGGCCCTCAGGAGGTCATCTAGTCCAACCCCCTGCTCAAAGCAGGACCAATCCCCAGACAGATTTTTACCCCATTTCCCTAAACGGCCCCCTCAGGGATTGAACTCACAACTCTGGAAAGGTGAAGACGACTGAGTTAGATGCAGAAGCCAATATTTTAAGTTTCTCATGTTGACCTGTCTGACAGTCAATTTAATTTGTTGGGTTTCTTTTTAATATTTACCGTATATACTCGATCACAAGCCAGTTCGTTTATAATCCAACTCCCCCCCCCGATGGATAAGTAAAAATGGAAAATTTTTATAACCCATTCATAAGCCGACCCTATAATTCTGGGGTCAGCAAACTTTGGCTCCCGGGCCATCAGGATAAGCCGCTGGTGGGCCGAGATGTTTGTTTACCTCGAGCATCCGCAGGCACAGAGGTAAACCTAAGTAAACAAAGTGTCCTGGCGCGCCAGCTGCTTACCCTGACAGGCCGGGACAGTAACTGGTGGGGAAATTTTTTTTTGGGGGGGGGAGGGGGAAGAGAGAAGCTGGGAGTCAGGGGAGTAACCCCTGTGACCATTCCCCACATGACTCCATCCCTAGCCGGGGACTCCCACATTCTCCCCAACCCATCGCTTCCCACCTTATCTGGGGAGGGTCTGGGGAGGATGTCTCTGACCTGGCTGGAGCTGCTCCGGCAGGCTGGGCAGTGCAGCCACAGCCTGCTCTGGCGAGCCTGACCTGGTGGCGCGGCCACAGCATGTTCCAGAGGGCTGGGCCGGGCGGCACGGCCGCAGCGTGCTCCGGCGGGCTGTGCGGCGTGGCCACAGCCTGCTCTGGGGGGCAGGGCCGAGCCGCACAGCTGCAGCCTGCCAGCCCCGGAGCTGCAGCTGCTTCGGAGGCTGGGGGGGGAGCAACATGGCCAGAAGCAGAGACTCTGGCCCCGCCTCTTCCCTTCTGTCTCTGCTGCCTCTCCTTGCTCCAGGAGCTCTGTTGGGGAGAGGGGCTGTGTCCCACCTCTCCCTCTCTATACCCGTTCATAAGCTGACCCCCTTCTCTGGTGCTTCCCACGTTTACTAAAAACATTCGGCTTATGAACGAGTATATACTGTAATTCAACTATTTTAGTTAAAAACAATTTTAACAAATACAACATCTGATTTTAAAAAACTTGAATGTTTGACTAAATTCAAAAATTCATATGCTTGTTTTGTTAAATTATATGTTTGCTGTTGAAGAAAAAAAATCCAGAATTGTTGTTTTAGTTAATTAAAACAATTTAAATGTTTGTCTGTTGATGTTCTCCTACTAATACAGCATGGCAAGAAAATCCTCCAAATATTAATGATTAACCTGTTGAATTGGAGATAGTTCACCATGCAATGATTTCATAAATATCGGCTTTGATTGCTTTTGGTAAATGAAATAACCAAACAATCATTCACTTTCTAATATAGCTGTATAACTAATCTGAAAAGTTTTCAAAATAAATCCCTTTAAAAATGTATAGTGTGTACCTTCTAAAATGAAACCTACATCTATCTCTGAGTTGTGAAGAATATGTATTAAGGTTATAACAACCAACAAGAATGCACTTTTATGTAGAAATCCATGATTAAATTGAGTCTTCCTAACTAATGATTTAAGTCAAATCCACCCTGACAGGAATGTTTGGGCTTTTTGAAAACTATTTTGTTTCCTGTCAAAACTAATAAAACTGAAAATTTCAGAAAATGGATTGAATAAAAGAAAAAAAAGTTAATTTTAATTTTAACTTTTAAAGTTATCTGATGCTTTTGCCATCCAAGAAGAACAAAGGCACTTAGAGAAATGTTGCATATTCATTAAGCAGACTGCATATTCAGGAGCTAAAGGTGTCACCTAATCTAACCCTGAAAGCAGGGTGCCAATGAAAGAGACAACAACAAACTTTGAATCTAAACATGTCTGAAAGAGGCTTACTGTCCTATAATTTCATGGAAATAGGAAGATATAAAAAAACAAACCACCCCTCTGAAATGAGAACCCCTCACACACATCCTCTCTACCCTGCTTAAAAACAGCAAGCACTACACAATGTATCCAGTCCACCTCTACAAGCAAGCTGCCACAGCAGCTAAAAAATACAAGACTCAAAAAGAAACCCAACCCAAGAAAACCTCCTCAAGATTTCAACTATGGTGAGATAAAGTTAACTAAGACACTGCCAAAAGATTAGATTTTAAACTATTTTATTGGAATAGTGAAATGCAATAACTTAAAATATTAATAGTTTCTCTTGTTATTCACCAAAAGGTTAAACTGTGTATTCTTGGAGAAGAAATGGGACTAAACATCGGTAAATAAACAGTGGGATTTAATTGGATACAAGATTTTTAACTGGCCAGTCTCAAGACAGCTCCTTAAATGGTTTCTTCTAAGTGATTTAAATATTTTCTTGGATTTCATGGAATTTAGTGAAAATTGCTTACTCTGCCCAGTGATAGCATGTTTCGGTTATCAATGATTTTTATTATATATAAATATAGACAGACACACCCACCCACCCCCCAAATAGGATACACCTGTTCTTGAAATTATTTTGTAAAGAACACAAACATTCTTTGTTCTCTAAGCACAGACTAAGTCTGGTTTCATAATAATTTGGGGAAATAGGGCCTTAGTTTCAGTTTATAAAGAGAAAAAAGCACCACACCAAAGGCGAGTCCACTCTCAGAGACGTAGCTCTGCTCAAAGCTCTCCAGAGAGAGACATACTTCCATTAGTCTGTTCTGTAACCGGTTTATTAGTTGGGTTCTGTCACTTGTGTTGCTTTGTTTAATGTTTTCTTTTCCTTTCTTTAACAAAATAGCCAAGATCAATAGCTTGATTATTTTTCCTGATCTCAATTATGGTGTACCCAAAGGTATGTAAAGAATCTGACCTTGTAGTTGGCAATAAGAGAAACAATTAGTAAGAACTGTCTTACTATTTCTAGTTTCTCTAAACATTTTTAGTAATTTATAATAATACAATTATTTGGCATCCAACAATTTAAAGTGACCCCTTTCTACCCCATACAACTATATGGCCCTTTAAGAAATTGAAAGATCAGTCCCATTAGGAAATAGTACAATGCGCCCTCTCTCATCCATTTTCTTTTGTCTAATAAGAGTCTGAAACATTAAGGACAATGTAGATATAGAAAGGAATCTCCTATAAAAGAGAAATTCCTCCTCATGCAGCATTTCTTAAATTTCCTTTTCTACACAGGGTTAGTTCACAGAAGCAAAAGATAAGCAAACAAAATTAAATTAGATATTCAAGAAGGAACACACATTTATTCCCTTAAGCACATTCATATGTAAAAATGGGCTAAGTAATAAGATAGACAAAAAAAATTGTCTAAGAAAACTTTTAAAATAAAAGATTACCATTCTGTTTGGAAACTAGCCTAAAACCTGCTACTTAGTAGTGTTTTTCCATCAGTGTACTTTTATAAATAGTTTCTTACTTTCAGAGTACAATAAGCAAATAGTAAGCGCTTCTTTGTTCCAACCTTGCTGATCTGTAACTGAAGTAATCACAAACAATGTACAGAGATTTAGTATCTTAATCATGAACTAACCTGGAGCAACCACGTTGACTCGAATTTTCTTTCTTGCTACTTCTTTAGCAAGAGAGCGTGAAAATCCAACTAATCCTGCTTTGCTGGCACTGTACACACTCTGACCAGAATTGCCCTTGAGTCCAACAATACTTCCTAAAACAAACAGAAGAGCAAACAGAGGCCAAATGACAGGCTAAATTTAATCTTTTACAACTTCAGTTGTGGCTTTACTGAAGTCAGAACTTTTAATCACCATCCTTTTAAATAACAGCAATGAGAGCTCGATATGCATGTTACGTCCCCATCTGCAAGTTAGAACTAAAATTTTCCCTTGAATACATGCCTAACTATTGGAGAGACAGTTAAGATTACAACTAAAGTAATGAAAATAAGATTGCTTCCTGAATATTAACTTATCAATGAGAGCAAATCTCTCAGCTATCTATGTACAGTTCATACAAATATGCACCAGAAAATTATAATACTGGTAAGTCTGTGGCAAAGCTCCCTGAATAATACCCTCCTAGAGAGAAAAAAAAGCCATGCCTTTCTCTATTTTGATTTTAATTAAGAATAACGCTTGCAATAATTGGCAGAAGTTACGGGAAGATTATAAAAGCATGATGAAATGCAGACTAAAGGTTTTATAAGGACTTTATTTATCATGGCCATGAGCTGTGTTTACATTCAGAGGTTGCTGAAAAGGTTTAAAAAGGAACAATGTGTTCACAAAAGAAAGGCTAAGAAAATAGTGACTCAATGAGTTTAATGAGAAAACACACGTGCATAAAGTTACTTGATTGTATAAGGGTTTGCAGGACTAGGAATAAAAAAAAGCTAACCACACACACAAAATTCATCATAATTGAAAAAACATATAATACTCCTTCAGCCTTTCATAGTGTGTGTTACTTGTGGACTGCTTTAAAAAGGCACTGTAAATCTGCAATCTAGTCTTTTTTTTAAATTAAAAGTAATATAAAACATTATACCTGCCTTTGAATCCTCTTCCCAATTGTTATGGTTTTAAAAAAAAACAAAAAAACCCACATACATATACACACACGCACACACACACACACACACTTACTTTCCTAATTCTTTAACATATTCCTGTCTTTCACAAACAGAGAAATCTATCAGACTGTCCAGACGAAACAACCAAGCTAACTTTACACCAAATGCTATGAATAGTGACAGGTAAATACACTGGGGAAAATATCTTATTTTTCAGTTGTAGGCAAATTTGGTTTTCATCTTACAATTAGCTTCAAATGGGCACAGAGGTCTAAATCATTTGATGTGCATTCCAGGCTTAGATAATAATAATAGGCAGAATATTTTCAAAATGATGTGTGCAGAATTTATTATTTGATTATGCCCCTCTACAAGTAACTGGACCCAATGATAAAATATTAATTTCAGGACATTATGCATTTCCTACAATTGTGTTTCAATTTTGGATTCTTACTACACGTTTTTAGAGGTATACCTTTTAACATAAAATTTCTAAGACTGTGTCTAAGAAAGTCAATGAAATATAATTAACCACCTTCAACTTGCCTAAGGTGTAGACTCACCTATGTTAACAATAGCACCTCCCTGTTGTTGAAGCATATGCCTTACAGCAGCTTTGCATGTCAACATCGTTCCCAGAAGATTAGTGTTAATTTGGGATACCATATCTTCAGATGTGGTTCTCAGCAACAAGCCATCCCTGTCAAAAAAAAAACACCCTGAAAAATTGGTTTAAGTCATCCCCAGTCAAATTCCGTTGACCAGAATCAAGTTACACCAGGGAAGAATTTGACCCTACATATACTAGCACTGTTCTTGGTAACACTGAAAAATTATGTACAGGAATAAGACATAAGGCCCACATCAGCCATTTTGCTGATAGTATATGACAAGCGGTCAAATGTTCTAGCTCAGAGGACTGTCAAACACTAATTTCTAATGGATCAATTTATTTTTGGCCACGAAGAGACTGGAAATTATATATATATTTGTACTGGAGTTTCACTTCCATTGAAAATAATATATCTTTGAGTACAACAGAAAAACAAGGAGAGTGAAGTAATATGTTTTATTGGACTAACTTCTGTTGAAGAGAAAGACAAGCTTTCGAACTTACACAGAGCTATTCTTCAGGTCTAGGAAGTGGACTCGGAGGGTATGTCCTCACTGCAATTAGACACCCACAGCTGACCCATGTCAGCTGACTCAGGCTCACAAGGCCATAAAATTGTGGTATAGCTTGAGCCTGAGCTCTGGGACACTAGGGAGGGTCCTCAAGCTCAAGCTCCACACCAAGCCCTAATGTGTATTTTATTTTTTACAGACCCACAGGCCAGCAGCAGGTATTTAATTGTAGTGTAGACATATCCTTAGTGTCGCAGCTAAAACACAAAGTGGAACATATTAACTACTTATGCTAAACAACACATATTTCAAGCGACTATTAAAGGAGAAATAGCCCCTTAGCACCTCTCAATGGTGCTAGTAAAATCCATGTCTTACCAGTACGGGGGAGGGAAAGGGGGGCACCAACCAAGTGGGGGCACGTGACCTCCGCATGTGACTCCTCACCGCCCTGCCTCCAGCCCGGGACTCCCATGCTCTCACCGTCCCCTCCCTATATCCATCCCATGTTATCTGGGGGGGGGCAGGGGGTTTACAGGGTTCTAGCCTCCTCCTGCTGTGCCAGAGAACGGGGGGGGGGGAGGGACAGTGGCCAGAAGAGCTGCCAACGTTCTGCTCCTTTCTCCACTGCTGCCCCTCCCAGTGGGGAAAGGAGCAGAACTCCCAGCTGCATCTCCATCCTTCCTCATACTACAGCAGCAGCCCTCCTGAGATAGGGCTGGGGGCGGTACCGTCACCAGAGGAACTGCTAGCATTCTGCTCCTTTCCCTGCTGCCCCTCCTAGCATGAAAGTGAGCAGAACCACTAGCCTCACCCCCCCCCCCATCCCCACAGCCCTCTCCTCTGGCAAGGTTGCTGCTGTGTCTTTCTGGTACACCATACCAGCTATAAATGGCTTGCTAGTATGGTGTACTGGCCTACTTGCACTGCTGGCCCCTCTCAAGTCATGTGGGGGAGGGAAGGGTTACAGATTGTTGTAATAAGCCATAAATTCAGTGTCTTTATTCAGTTCATGTTTTTTGGTGTCTAGCAAAGTTATGAATTTATGCTCTCAGGCTCATCTTTTGAAAGTGTTGTGCAGGTTTCCTTTGAGAATGAAAACTGAGAGATCATACCTAAAGTAATTGTCTTGTGAAAATTGTTCACCCACAGGTGATATGGTGTTTTTGTCTTATTTTTTCTGTGAGAGTTCATTTGAGAGCATAGTGATTATCTTGTTTCACTCCCACAGTTGTTATTGGGATATTTAGTGCATGTACAAGATCCATGGATCTTGAAAAATGTGTTGCGGAGGATGTTGATCAGTAATATGTCTACAGGTTTTGCATCTGTTGTTCTGGCTACAACAACACTGACCACAATACACAGTCTTCAGATACACTTCAATTCATTTTTAGAATCATTAACAATGTGTTTACTTTTGCAATTATTCTCTCAGTATATTTAGTACCTTTCAACAAGAATGCATACCCTACTCTTACTTTCAACATAAAACTAACCTGTTGATTCCAGCAGCATTAACCAAGTAATTAACATGACCTAAATTCTTCTCCACCTCTTCAAGTGTATTTTGGACATCTTGTTCCATGGCTACATCACAGCTAAGTGCCATATGACCTGCTGTATTGAAATGAAGTTGCATTAGGGTAATAGTAAATATAAATAGCAAAATAATAGTAAAAACAGATGTTGAACTAGTTCTAACTTAAGAAATCTGCTCCCCCTCAAAGGAAAGTTAAATGAGGACACGTTTCAAGAAGTCTGCTGATTAGTTACAACACTTTCTTGTGTTTTGAATTTTTTGGCCCTTTTCAAGTTTGGAATCAATGTGGTCTAGAACAGTTTGAGGTCTGGGCTGGCTGGAAGCCAAGAATTGCCAAATTTTAACACCCGTTTCTGTCACCAACTCACATGACCGTGGACGACTGCCTTAATCTCAAGTTACCCTATCTGTAAAAGGGTGTCTGTAACAATTACTTACCAACCACCTTCCTGGTAGGAGTGTTATGAAGATTATATATTTGGGGAAAAAAGTAAAGTGCTGTGTAAACTGCTCTTAAATGCAAAAATATTGTTATAAAATATTACAACTATAAAATTACCGAAAGAATAGATGGTTCTTAAATGCTGCTTGGAATTCACACACTTTTCCTAACTGAAAAAAATGGTATTGGTAGATAACACAAACCCTGCCAGTGTCAGGCCCTAGATTTAATGGCTTATGTTTCAAAACAGCAATGCACACTACTATGCTCAAAAATAGTTTAAATGCACTTTATAATTAATACACAAAATTCACTGGACATTCATTTTGAAACTACACACATTTAAAAACAAAATAGACCATCTTGTTCCCAGTGACGTTAATGAGAACTTTTCTATTGACAATCATGAGAACAGACCCAGGCCATTATTCACACTATTTCAGATAGTAAATCCTCCATCTGCTTTGCTATATGTGGCTTAATTCTCAAATAGATGCTCCGCCTTTTACTTTCACCTGCATTTGTGAATATGCTCAGTTTAGATATATTAATATATTACTTTTACCAGTTACCTAAACAGTGGACAGGGCATGAATAAACAGTAACAAAGCAATATACATACCCCCAAGGTGATTCACAGTAGTTTGAGCTATTTCCAGATTTCTAGCAATAATAGCCAAACGGTATCCTTTCCATGCCAGCAGTTGTGCAACAGCTTTTCCAATTCCTCGGGATCCTCCAAAAATGGCACAAACTTTGGCCATCTCCAAAGAATAATTCACAAACAGCAAATAAGTCTACAATCAACAGTGACTGGCACCACATATTATAGGACCTGGTCCTTTATGATGCCAATTATCTTCCATTCCCACTGAAGTCAATACAGCACTCTGTCGTATCAGATTGTTTCAGTGTTACTGTATTCATACCTAGTTTATTTAAACTTTATCAAACAGCTGAACTAACCACTATTAGCTATGTGTTAAGGCGGAATATCTTCAGTTGAGAAATAAGTGTACTAAAATTTCTGAATTACAGATAATCTTCAATTTTGCAGTCAGATAATCATGAACTACAAATTAACTATTATTTTAAGAGTGTGATAAAGTTTGAAAGCAATGTAATTATAAAGATAATTATATACCTGCTCAAGTCAGTGCTTATAATTCGGTCTTTTCAAAGCCAACTCAAGAACTAAATGTGATTACTGTATTAGCACTTCTGATATTAAAGCCACTCAGTCTTTTGACCTTGGCCTCAAAACTCATCCCAAGCATCTCTATGACACCATAACATACCCTATTTTTATTAGTAACACTTACTGTGTTTACATTGCCACCGACCGAACAGTACTTTGGGATGGTCTAGACAGTATTTGGTCCTGCCATGCGGGCAGGGGACTGGACTCGATGACCTCTCGAGGTCCCTTCCAGTCCTAGAATCTATGAATCTATGAAACTATGTTAATTGCTTCTGCTTTTAAATAAAAAGCTTGTTTAATCAGTTGAAATGATACTTGAGCAGGTATGTACCTAACTTCAAGCCAAAACCTTGTGCCTTAGTAAAGACAGAATAAGAGCGCTAGAATTTGTCACTTTGGCATTATAATGTTGCTTCCTGTGGGAGAGGTGAAAGTAGAAAGAGGCCTAGTTTATTTTCTGCTGGTTATGGAAAGAATGCCAAAGGTATCTTTTCAGTTAACTGCCATGTTATGTCAAGGGAAATTATGAACATAGGTTTTTAACATGAAAATATTCTGGAACTACATAGACTCCACTTAGCAGTTTTATACAATCTGTTAATACCTTTTAAGAAAAATAAATCATCAGTCCACAAAGGACCATCACAACTGGCAGTTTCAACAGTGAGTAGCCCAGAAGTGAATCAATAAGATTTTATAGGGTCATTCCCCCTTACTGAATCACTGCACTTTGTCTTTTACCACAAGGTCAAAGTTGGTATTCTCACCTTTGAGACACTACAGAACCCCCATCTTTCCAGACATTTGTTTTGCATCACAGCACCTTTTATCAAAGGATTTCAAAATGCTTTGCCAACTCTAGGCCATCATGGAACTACTCACATGAAAAAGGCCTGTTGGACTGGATCCTAGGGAGAAAAATCTATCCCTGTAGTGGTACTGAGACTAGTGAAGGGGCAGAGTCTTGCACCTTTTCTACCACTGGGGCTGCTGGGGCCATTTTGGCTTCTGGTCAAAGTCCGAACAGCACTAATATCTGCTCAGACACTGAGGTTGGATGCAGCAGCTGCTATACACCATTTCACTCCCAGGACACAACAGTGTCTCAGCCATGCCTTCTCCTTCCAGTGATGTTTCCACATCACTGTTCTCCCACGCCCCCATAGGGTGACTTGTTCTCCTGAAAGCAACAGAGAGTCCTGTGGGCACCTTTAAGACTAACAGATGTATTGGAGCATAAGCTTTTGTGGGTGAATGCCCACTTCATCAGACGCATGCATATTCACCCACGAAAGCTTATGCTCCAATACATCTGTTAGTCTTAAAGGTGCCACAGGACTCTTTGCTTTTTACAGATCCAGACTAACATGGCTACCCCTCTGACACTTGTTCTCCTGAGTTTCACACCTTGGGAACGAACTGGACTGTTAACTCTTCCTGCAAGGAGGCCCACAGGCTTGCAGGGCTCCTCCATGCACACACCCGCCCTGCAGGGGCAGCGTGGGGAGAACACTACGGGGCTCGGCCCGGAACAGCGAACACCCAGAGGAGCTCGGACAGCTCCCAGGAGTCGCTTTGAGCCTCGGCTCCAGGTGACTGTAGCGCAGCCTCCCGCGGACCCCCTCCACCTGCCGGAGCTTCACGCGAGCGGCGCAGACCCTACCCGGCAGAGAGCGGGCGGCCAGTCTGGCAGGCAGCGCCCCCCGGGCGTTCACCCACCTCCGCTCCCCAGCTCCGCCTGCGCCTCCGCTAGGGAGAGTAGCAGTTGGCGAACCCGCCTCGGGGACAGGTTTCAGCGCGGCGGAGCAAGCGTTGGAGCCTCGTGTTCCCTCCCACCCCCTTCCACTGCAAGCGCCCTTGGCCTCGCGCTATTTCAGGCGCTTGTCACAGTGGGGCAGCTACACTCGGGGTTCAGCAGTAGCCGGTTACCACGGAGACCACGCCGAGCTCTGTAGCACTCTTCTGCATTCCTCCCGCTACCTCGCTGGGAAAAACGCACGCACACGCGCGCGCAGCCCTTCCTTCGTTGTGGCGCACGGGGGGAGACTGCACCGCCTCTCATAAAACGCTATGCAGATCCTGCCAGAAACTACCGCTCCCAGCATGCAATGCGGCCAGGCTGCTCCGGCTGCAGATAGAGTGCCTGTAGCTGCCGGCATTATTAGGAAGCAGTGCATGCTGGAACTTGTAGTAGGTGAAGCTCCGGTGAAGCTCCGGCTGCTGCTGCGCGGGCTCGCAGACCGAAGACCCCCTGCCGCACAGGATATTTGCGTTGGACTAGGAATAATCTTCCAGTAATTAAACACCACCCAAAGCCTCACGGCAGGCCCTAGGCAACATGCACCTTGCCCCAGCTGCCAAACCGGGCTTCGTCAGTTTTATCACGTGCGATAAAGCCCCAGTTCCTGGAGTCACAGCACGCCGGTGGTTCTAGGGGATCACAAATTGAATAGGAGTCAATACCGTGATGCAGCTGTGAAAACAGCCGCTATTCTGGGCTCTCACCGTCCCTTCAAACATTTATATGATTATTTTATGAGAATCTTTTTCATTTTAAACAAAAATTGGTAATGCTAACCTCAATCAATACATTCAGAATTTTTTTTACTACTACATTTTAGGTGATTTTTATTTGTCCTCTGGTTACTGAGCCTTTCGGGTGCACTCATGTCACTTTCTCGAGCTTCTCTCTACAACTGTGAGGACCAGAAATTCATTTTTAAACAAAAGCTGAGCTTCTTGCCTACTCCATTGCCTCCAGGAGCCAGATCTTTAAGAAAAACAGCACGTATCATGAGATGGTGAAATCACAAGAGTTGCCAACATTGAGCAAATCTAGTCCTCAGAGTTGCTGAAAATAAGCAATAAAAGAATCAACAATATTTTTAAACCTCATGATTTTAAGCCAGTCTCAATTTTGGGGACCCTATTCATGATTTTTGAATGCTTTCTATTGACAATGCTGCAGGCAAACCTAGTCACCCCTGCATGCCCCGCCCCCAGACATGCAGTTATTACCTATGTGCCATGCAGCATATACCTCTCTCTCTCAATCCCAGACCCCAGCACATAGACAATTTTGCTCTTTCTATCTTAGTTCAGAGGTTTTAGGATTTTGAACTGAAATCTCAGTTTTACACCTTGAAGCAGTAATTTACACTTAACCTATCAACTATTTTAACACTGCATTTTTTAACCTAACCCTGCCCCTGTCCCAAAGAATCTGTTGCCAGAAATTATTTGGCATGCAAGTGTACTGAGAACTTGTCTTGTATCACATTTACATTGAAAATTGCTGCAATTTTCTTTTTAGCATATCCCTATTGGATATCTAAGAATCTTTTTTTTTCCTTCCTCTTAGTATATTTCCCTTTTCTCCCATGGATCTATCAGCTTGTCTCTACACTTATGTTTTTTCTGCTTTAACTATGCTGGCATAATTACAATGGTATTCTCTCCACCTCAGTGTACACCAGGATAAGTTTTTTATATCAGCAGGGCCAGCTTCAGGCACCAGCTTGCCAAGCAGGTGCTTGGGGCGGCCACTCTGGAGAGGAGCTATTCGGCGACAATTCGGCAGATGGTCCCTCACTCCCACTCAGAGCGAAGGACCTGCCGCCGAATTGCCGCCACAGATCGCGATCATGGTCTTTTTTTTTTTTTTTTGCGCCGCTTGGGGTGGCAAAAACCCTGGAGCCGGCCCTGTATATCAGTATAGCTGCATCTACACTAGGGCTTTTACTAGAATTATATCATCAAAAACCCACACCCCACATACTTCTGACATGGTTATGCCAATAAAACTTCTTAAGTGTAGAAGACCAGACCTTTATCATAGATGATATAATACTGAGTGGGACAACACAGCTCATCAGCCATTCAGTAATCAGTTGGAGGATCTTTTGAGTGACAAGGTCTCCTTTCCTCTACAGAGAGAATGTCTACACTGCAGCTGCTACACAGACACAGCTATGGTGCTGCAGCTGTGCCACTATAGTACAGATTCTTCCTGCATCAACAGAAGAGGTCTCTTCCCCCTCTCCCCTCCTTGCCAGTCAACATAGTTAATCCTCTCCAAGAGATGATAGCTAGGTCAGTGGAAGAATTCTTCCAGCAGCCTAGCCCCATATACACCAAGGGTTAGGTCGACCTAACTGTGATATGTGCAGATGTGGTCATCCCACCTTAAAAAAAGATATATTGGGATTGGAAAAGGTTCATAAAAGGGCAACAAAAATCATTAGGGGATGGAACGGCTTCCGTATGAGGAGAGATTAATAAGAGTGGGACTTTTCAGCTTGGAAAAGAGATGGCTAAGGGGAGATATGATTGAGGTCTATAGAATCATGACTGGTGTAGAGAAAGTAGGTAAGGAAGTGTAGTTTACTACTTCTCATAATATAAGAACTAGGGGTCACCAAATGAAATTAATAGGCAGCAGGTTTAAAACAAATAAAAAGAAGTATTTCTTCACACAAGCACAGTCAACCTGTAGAACTCCTTGCCAGAGGATGTTGTGAAGGCCAAGACCATAACAGGGTTCAAAAAAGAACTAGATAAATTCATGGGGGATAGGTCCATCAATAGCTATTAGGCAAGATGGGCAGGAATGGTGTCCTTAGCCTCTGTTTGCCAGAAGCTCGGAATGAGCGACACCTGTTCTGTTCATTCCCTCTGGGGCACCTGGCACTGGCCACTGCCAGAAGACAGGATACTGAGCTAGATGGACCTTTGATCTGACCCAGTGGGGCCATTCTTATGCTCTTAGAATGTTCAGCGCATGAAATTTTTCATATCCCTGAGTGACATAGCTAGGTCAAGCTACTTTAAAAGTGTAGACCAGACTGGATTAATTTGGCAGTGATACATTGAAATTTGTGTACATAATAGACAAGGAATTAAACCGGGGTCTCCCCCATGATGGGGGAGAGTGCAAGTGTGCCTGGAGTTGATGGTTTTGTGACTACGTTCCCATTGTAAGACTATTTGTTTAGCTCTACTACATAGTTTTGTTTTCTTTTATGCATTAGTCTGAAATTAAGGTTGCCAGTTTTAATTGGATGTATTCCTGGAGGTTCCATCACATGACAATCTTTAATTAAAGATTAATTTTAATTCCTGGAGGTTTGGCAACCCTATCCAAAATGTGGCTTAAATGGCTTCAGCTGAGAAATAATTAAAGTTTAGAGATTAGTATCTACTTATGTGCAGGACACTTTTCATAGTTGTTTGGGCTAATAAAAATTATTCAAAGTTCTCAAATTACTATTGATATGATTGTTGTAGAGTTATAAGCTCAGGGGAAATGTGCTATGCTGAGGTTCTGACCTTCTGCTGTAAACCTCAGTAATGAGGATTTCAGACTGTTTCTAAGAGCTCCAGGATTAGAGTTGAGAGTGAAGTTATCAATTTTAACATATAATTTTCAATGGGCCAGTCTTTATATATGATAGGGAAAGATGTATTTGGGGTTCCAGACACACCATTAACCAGCTATAACTTATAACTAGAGAGCTGACCATTTGGTCTCAAAATAGTCTTTAGCACAGACTTAGTTCTGTAATACAAAAGAGTGTTCACAAAAGGGAAAATGTGGATGTTTTGTTCTGGTGAAATAGATAGCAGCAAAACGGCATGGGGGTGGGGGGCTGGAGAGAGAAAGAATCAGTCCCCAATGAAAAGGGATATAGCTAATTAGCTAAAGCTGGTGGACTAAAGACACAATAATTCTAGGTTCCATGACATGGTATGAGTAGAGCAACAGACCAGAATTCATGTGACATAAATTAGTGCTTAATAATTGTCTGATGATCCCTCATCAAGAAAGGCAGCATAACATAATGCTTTAAGAAAGTGATAAAAAGTTGGTCTTCCCTGTACACACTGGAACTCTGACACAAAAGCAGGAAATTCTCTACATTTTTTTTAAACTGCATCATGTAGTGAACAAAACAACAATGCAAAACATTCTTTCCCATGGTTCAGACAAGATTGTGTTCAGCTCTTGTCTAGTAAATGCTTATTTAAACTTAGATGTGTAATCAGAGATCACTTATTGGCCACAGAATAACCAAATGTTTGCAAAAGTTATGTTAACCTTTCTCCCAATGATTTCTTTTTTACATGTTTTAAGCATATGGCTGAAAGCATACACAAGCAATGAATCTGAGCCAGTTTACCCCTAGTTATTTCCTAATTTTGTAAAGGATGAGCTGACTGTATTGAAGTGAAGAATCAGTTTAA